TAAAGCTCCTTGATAAGCTTTGTTTTCTTGCTTGAACATGTCTGTTTCGATTTTTGTCCTATTTCAAATTGGGGCTACTTTAACTTTCTGATTTTATTCGTTTTGCCCTTTGAAGGATGCTGTCACTAATGGACCTGCATTGTATTGCAGAGAAGAACAATGGGTTGGGCTTTTATTTGTGCATACTAGTGATACTTGGGGATCTTTGTTTGATCGCATCGATGTTGATGGCCACTTCGGACGCTCGCATTTGGAAGCTAGGGATCATTGGTAGTAAACGTTCTTGCTTCCTCTTTTACAAGTTTTAGTGATGGGGAAAGTTCGCCTTGTTCCATATCTTTGAATTGTCAACTGGTGCAAATAATCCAAATTCTGTAGCCTCTGAAGGTATAATGGAGATGGTAAAATATAAGCTGGAATTGTGAGCATTACTCCCTGTTACTGTGATTGTCATCGCAAGAACTTAGAATAAAGAAAAGGTTAGGGCAGTCTTGGTTATGAAGAATATTATTTTGTTCGCTTATCTTAACAGCTTTACATAATGCTCAATGTTGTGTCATATTCCGTATCCCTCAACATGTTGACATTTGCTTGAACTTCGATTTACAGGGCGTGGCATGGAGGTTTGGTAGAAGGAGTTACTCCCATCTGGTATTTAAATGATGGATCCATCCTTGGTGGTACCGTAGATACATAACTTAATCTGGTTTGCTGGCAAGTTCGCTCCAAATCGATTCAAAGCATTGTGGGTTCCCCAGAAGCCTCTGATGTTAAAGCAAGGAAGTGGGCCGTTAGCACTATCTGGCATATTAGTAGCTCTATTGTTCGTGCTCTTGTATCGTCCGCCTTGCACGTGTATTTGGTTCAGGGCGTTTAATAGTAATAAAGGGAAATTATCAATTCTCACTTAAAACCAACTCTGTTTTAACAAAATTAATGCAGGCTTTTGCTGTAAACCCAAAATATTGATTTAATGTATCCTCAATGAGCAGAGACTCCTATAGCAATCACTGCTTGTGCTTGAATGAGTGTTTCAATGTTTCAAAACATGTGCAACGTCGACCTTATTAACCTTACAGGGATTAGTAACCACTTTGTTATATAATTCTTGTTTGCCCCCCAAGACGCCACAACAAGGATAAATTAACTTTCAAATGGTTATGAGGGCACAAAAACTTTGAGAAACAACATTGTCATAAAGTTAATTCTATCGACCACTCATATACATCCTTGGCCAGCTCAATCTTACTGCATTCCCGGCCTTTGCCGATGAAAGAGTTGAACATTTGCAACTTGAATTCCGAATGGATGATGGATAATATTGATCTTGGATAAAATGAAAAATATGGTGCATCCCCCTTGTATCTACTATACTAAGAAACCTCATGGGGTGAACCTTGAATTACTCTTGACAAGTTACAACTTTAAGACCTTGAATCAAATACTGCCCCCTTTTTAAAACTTCTTTGAAATCATAACTTGAACAAGAATCTCGAAACAAAAAAATTTGAATGTGAATTTTATACTCTCAATTTAAAGTTATGAACACCACGTGAACCTTGAAATCCATTTGAATCATAAGTTTGAAATCAAATAGCCCATTTCATGAAGATGTTATCACGACAAATTATTCTTTCAAATAGACGTTTGGATGGTGATTGTATCATGATCACGCTATTAACCCAGAATTTTGCTAATCTTGAAACCATGCCAAACCTCCTCAAAAAATAATACTCATAAGACAGCACCAGATTGTAACCAGGCTTAAAATTTAAAGTTCGAATCCAAATGTAACAAGATCCTAATAAACCCGGGTGGGAGATCAAAGCCCTGGCTCTCAACTTCTATGCTTAAATCAAAAGGAGAAAGCCATAATGCTCCCCAAATAAACTGAAGCTTCTGAGGAAACTTGAGGGAAGTGGCATTGAATATAACGCTGGGCTGATGGTGCATTCGAAACTTGATTGACTAACTCTTGAGGTCCATTTGAAGTAAACCATGCTTCATCATTTAACAATATTTGAATTAAACAAATTGCTTTTCCTTAATCTTATCTTACACTTTATCTTCTCATGGCCACTATCACATGCCTGAAACCAGAGGACTCTGCCTCTCTGAGGAACTCAGCACTGTAAGATTTCCTGTAATGTTCTGCTAACATATTTAGAGTGTGAAACTGTAATGTTCTGCTAACACTTAGTGGGATAAGGTTTGTTTGATTATTTTGAAATCACTGCAGGTAGTACATTTGCAGTATTCCTTGATTTGTCGTAATGCTAAGGTGAGTCTTTTTCCCAATCAGTTGCCATCAGATGCCCGTATATCAGGCTTTAGACTAAAGGTGCCGTCCCCTTAGCTTGAAAGGTCTTTAAAAATTAAGGAAAGGCTAGAGTCTTCATCGAATCTAAAGAAGATTCTACTTTTATTAGTTCTTGATGGTACTTCTATGGTCATAGCTAATGGGGTTGTTACACCAGCAATGTCAGGTTACTTACTGCTCTAGTATTATGTATTTTGTAGCTTTTATGGAAGTGCTTTTGTCACAGTATGTTTGGAGTTTGGATTGATACTAATATTATGCTGTAGTCACATCTCGTTGCTTGTGTTCATGGCCAGCTGTTGTTTTCAATAACCTCTTGATTACTTCATACTTAGTTCTAACTTTATAAAATTTTCTTCTTGCAGTACTATCATCTGTTAATGGCTTGAAAATTGGGGTAGATGCCATTAAGCAGTGTACCGTGTTAACCTATTAACAAACTCTTATCTGTAATACTTATTAATACCTGCATTTGATATTACCCGTAGACACATCCTGAGAACATAGATTTTATTTTCTTTCTCCTTTGAAATAAATAATTGTTGCTTCCCCATTAATAGTTATAGTTTTCAAGGTATTATAATTCAGTCTAAGTGTGCGCGGGATGTCGTTTCTATAGTTTGGGCTACTCTGGTGGAAATGGAAACTGGGAAAAATTGGCTAAATATTTCAATTTTAGAATCACTAACGAAGTTATATTAATTTGTTCTACTTCCGTGATTATGCAGATCAAGTGGTGATGATTTCTGTTGCTTGCACAGAAGTATGGAACAAGTAAAGCTAGGCTTGCTGTAGGACCTGCATTATTTTTATGGTTTTGTTCTCTTGTGGGCATTGGTATATACAATCTTGTCAAATATGACAGCAGCGTCTTAAGAAAAATAAATAAGTCACTCAAAAATTTGCCATGTCTCTTGGATTACTGCTTTGTCTGATGTGACTTTAGTATTACAACATGCCTTAATGTACTATTAGGTGTTTCTCGATCAGTTTTCATTTAAGTTTTAAGTAAAGCACAAAATAGTTATTATTCAACCATCAACACTATTTTATGAAACATGTTTCTTCCGTTTTGTGCTTGTTTAGTTATTGCACATATTTAACATTGTCTGCTTTGCAGAATATGATTACCGGAGCTGCCCAAATGGATGGTGGTATCTTTTGCTGACATTTCTGCTTTAATTGTACACTACAAGAAATCCTGCAGTTTCCCAAGTGATATTCACGTCACTAACATAAAAACCACTTCACTAAAAAAATTTGCGACGTGGGTAAAACACGTCAGAAATGCAAAGGTGGGAACTTTTTCCCACGTGGTAAACACGTCACAAAGTTGTCACATGGTTACCACGTCGCAAACCACAAAAGAAAGAGGAAATGTTCCCACGTGAAAACCAAGTCACTAATTAGTGACGTGAAAACCATGTGGGAACATTACTTTACCAATTTTCTCTGCACGCTGGCTGACACAATTATATTTTATTACCCACGTGATATCCACTTCACAAAGTTGTGACCTAGTTTTCACGTGGGAAACCATATTGAATTAATATTCTTCCCATGTGATTCCCACGTCACTAATTAGTGACATGGGATCCACTTCACTATTTAAATTAATTATAAAAAAAAAAATTAATATTAACTGAAAGCTTCTATAAAATTAAAATAAATTTTAAATTTTAAATATAAATTTTAAATTAAAATAATTTTTAATTAAAATAATATACATTTAAAATATATAAATATTTAGTTACATGAAATTCACGTCACAAATACAAATAATAATAATAAAAGTTGTGACATAGTATTCACGTCACAAATAAAAATAATAATAAAAAAAATTATTCTTCGTCACTAAATGATTCATCTTCGTTTTGGTCATCATCTCTGGGAGAATAATTCGATCTCGAGGCAAAATATTTTCGCATTTGTGCCTCCATGTCTGATTGTCGCTTCCTCATTTCCTCTATTTCAGCATTTTGTCTGTTTCTCATATCATCCATTTCGGCCTTTAGGGCCGCCTCACGTGTCTCTGCCTCTCGTCTCGCCTCAGCTAGAGCTAACTGTCTCACTGTTGCCAACATTTCTGGTGTTAATTCTGCCGGACGCGATCCTCCTTCCCCGTCATCGAGTCTCTGAAATAAAGTTCGGTCCCCTTTTCTATAATCACCAGCCAAAGACCCCAGACCAAAAAAACATCCATTAACTCTCTTCCCGCCTACTGTTAAATTCCAAATATAAAGATCAACACGTGGATCAAGCGGTGCATCCCCAATCGGCGTATATTGAGGATTTTCAGTTAGAAATTGGGCAAGCAATGTCTGGTACAACTCCTACACACACATTAAAAAAAATTAAATTAAATATAATTTAAACAATTTAATTATATAGTAATTATGAAATTAAAAGAATTCAACTAAAATAAACAAGTTACCAAGGTTGATTTGGAACGACCGTCAACAAAGTCGCCCGATTTTTTGGTTCGAGTCTTCACAAATAGCTCATTAATTCGTGGCTCCCTCCCCAAGTCCTTTTTCTAATTAAAATGATGAAGCTTAATTAAATATATAATAATACAAAAAAAAACTTTAAAAAATAGTTATAATTACCATTCGTCGACGATGTTCGCCGATACTGATACTTCCAACTGTATTAAGACAACCACCTGCTTCAGATGCCCTCATCTTTTTAACCTTGGTATTATCGGCAAATAAAACATGGACTTCACTGCTACACGTTTTTGTTTACGGTTAATCGCTTTACTACGAACTTGATATCTCGGACTCTTACAGAACTTACATTCCTCCAGCGCCTCATCATTAACACCAAACTCATTGTCATAAAACAACATACATCCATTTATGCAACAATCAATCTTTCGTACTTCTAAACCCAACTTTGACACCAACCTCTTTGCATCATAATAACTTGTAGGCAAGTTGTCTTTCGTAGGAGTCGCATCCAACATCATTTTTGCAAAGTATTCCAAACACTGATCAGGAACATTCCAATTTGACTTCGCAGCCAATAATCTCACACACATTGATAATTTTGAATCTGCCGACCCCTCAAACAACGGTGTATTCATTTCTTTCAACAATTGGTAAAATCTTTGTGCTTCCTCATTCGGCAACTCTTCCCCATCAAAATCCTGAGGTTCATCATATGTCACATTTACTCCAAATGCATTTCCAACCATTTCATCGATCAGATTAAATTGTTCATCAAATTCCATGTGTGATCGACTGCTTGATGCGTGTGTATTAGTTGCGTCTGCATGTACGTTACTCGGCAGTTGTTCTCCATTATATGTCCAAACCCAATAATTTTTAATGAAACCTTTCCTCTTCAAATGACGTTCAACTTCCTCTGGGTCACTAATTATAGATCTACATTCACATTTAAGACAAGGACATCTCACTCCTCCTTCACGTCGACAACATTCTTGTGCAAATGCCCACGTGATAAACCCCTTAACTCCTTCCTCAAAATTTGCCGTAAGTCCACGTCTGCCTGGTAACGTTCTATCGTACATCCAACTACGATAGTAACGAAAATATTCCATACTGCACAATTGTACTATATATCATTATATATCATTTTAATAAAATATGTAATTTAAATCTATTTTTTCTATTTTGACACCAACCTAATAAAATATGTTCACTAAAATAATATATATTCATTATTTTTAAAATATAATATATATTTATTATTAAAGTATAATATATTCATTAATATGTATAATTGATTTAAAAAAACTGTTTTATTATATTCATTAATTTAATAATATATTATGTTTACTAAAATAAATATATATTAAAAAACTGTTTTATTATTTAAAAAACTGTTTTATTAATATATTATAATTTAATAATTTAATAATATATTGTGTTTACTAAAATAATATATATTAAAAAACTGTTTTATTATTTGTTCCGGTGTGGGCCTCACCTAGGCAGGCCCAATACCAAATACGGCCCAACAGGCGAACTGGGCACACCTGGCACACGCCCTTCGGACGAGCAGGACCGTCAGCCGGGCACAAGCCATCACGCCGCATCCCCTTCGTCGTCCGTCACACCAGACGAGCAAGACTACCCGGGCTCCCTCCGCGGGAGAATAACGTGCTCGGCGCACGTTATCCATGCGCTTCCCTCCGCGGGAGAATAACGTGCTCGGCGCACGTTCTCCACGTGCTCCCCTCCGCGGGGACACGTCATCGGCCAACCGCCCACCTCCGAAAGAGCAGGTCAAACCCACTTTCCGGAGACCTAGGAGCGGTTGAACTAGGGCGAAGACCACGTCTTGGTCTTCACTACGCCACGTAAGCCCTAGCAGTCATTAGGGTTGGGCCTGGTCGTCTGGCCCACCTCGAATGACCGTTGGCCCAGCGCTGGGGTCTCTCTATAAATACCCTCTTCTTCAAGAGGGTCAGGTAACTCTTCTTGCCCCCCTTTTTCTGTACTATTGCTTCCTCTCTGTCCAACTTCTTACTTGGGCGTCGGAGTGCTTTGCAGGTACACCCCCTCCTCGTTCTTACCTCGGCGAACAGATAACCGTCCGGCGAAGCGTGGCCAGTCCGTGATCCCTCCTGATCAGGTCAGATCAGTGGCACCGTCTGTGGGAACGGAAACTTCCCCGTTACTCCGAGCAGAAAAACCAAAAGTTTCACCAAACCTCCACGGTTATGGCCAGCCCCCGCCGCGACGACACTCCGCTCGATCTCGCACTCAACACTGCCGCCAACGGGAAGCAGGTAGGAACGGCGCGCCTGAATGAAGCCGACGAAAGAGACGGGCAAACCGCCTCGCCATCGTCCGAGGAAAGGCCCCAGCATGCCGACCATCGCCCCCCGAGCCCGCCGGCATTCCACCCTGTTCCCATCCCGGCGGGAGCGGACCCCACGGTAGCCGCCCTCTTTGCAGCCATCAACCAGACAAACCAGCTGCTGTCCCAACAGAACGCTAGAATTGGAGCGTTGGAACGCGGCGGCTCCCCGAGGTACCCCCAGCGGGAAGACCAGAACGGAGGTTCGAGGAGCCCCTCACCTCGACCCAGGAACCGCCGACCGCGGTTGGAGAGACGCCGCCCCCAAGCGACACGGGAACGCACCAGATCCCCGGCAAGACACGGTCGCGGGAGGAACCAGAACACCGCGGCGACCCCAACCGAGGAAACCCGAGGCGGGAACACAGGCCGGAGATCGAGGGCCCGAAACCCGGGACACACCGCGACCGGCTCATCCCCCCTGAGATCCCCGGCGCACAGCGACGAGGATGACTACCGCACCCCACTATCCCGGGAGATCATGGCGGCCCCTATACCCCAAGGAATGGAGAAACCACCGACGCTGTCAACGTACGACGGCACCTCCGACCCGGACGATCATCTGGAAGACATCGAGGCCATGCTCGACTACCGCAATGTCCGGGGAGCTATCAAATGCAGACTCTTCCCGACGACTCTGAGGAAAGGCGCTATGACCTGGTACAAAAGCCTGGAGCCCGAATCAGTTACGTCGTGGAGGGTCTTGAAGGACCTATTCTCCAAACACTTCACAGCGTCCCGGCGTCACCCGAAGACGGAAGCAGTCCTCGGGGCGATCATCCAAGGCCCCGACGAACCCCTCCGGAAATACATCGAAAGATTTACTCGGGAAGCCGTACAGGTGACGACTTCCGACGAAATGAAACGCTACTTAATGGAGCAAGGCCTGCGCCATGACTCCAAATTCTACGAGGCCGTGGGCATACACCGGCCCACGTCCCTCCAAGACTTCCTCGACAGGGCCGCCCACTACATCCGGTTCGAGGAAACACAAGCGGCCAACTCCGCCCGCGACACCCGAGACAGAGAAGCCCCCCGCGGGCACCGAGACGACGGAGCTTCGAGCCACCGGCGAGGAGGGGACCGCCGTCGGGATGACCGCCACCGCGAACCCCGCGAACAGCGCGAGTCGCGCGGCCCGGCAGGAAGGTTCACCGAGTACACCGCCTTGGTCGCTTCCCGCGAACGCATACTGGCCGAATGCGCTAAAACCGAGTTTGTGCAGGGAGGTGTCCGTTTTCCACGACCAACGCCGCCCAAACCGAACGTGGACAAGTCAAAGTACTGCCGGTTCCACAGGACCCACGGGCATGTAACGGAAGACTGCATCCATCTCAAAGATGCGATCGAAATCCTAATCAAAGATGGGCACTTAAAGCGATACACCCGGGGAGGTGAACCACCCAGATCGGAGGCCCCGGAGGCAAAGAAAATCGAGGAGCTCCCCTGCCCAGAAGACGGTGAGAGACTCCAGGTCGCGCTGTGCGTCAGCCGCCCCGAGGACTGGTTCGCAAGCAGAGGACTCGGCATCCCCGAAGCACCCAGCTTAGTCGGCGAGCCAATCCGACCAACCAGCCGATGGGAATACTTCCCCAGAGCCATGGTCATCTCTGATGGCGCTACGAGGAGTCTGTCCATAGGATCTGTGAAAAGGAAATTCGACGAACTCATCGCGGGCAACTCCGGCAAGATGAGCACGCTCGACAGATTCCGAGGCCGCTCCAACCCGATCACGTTCTACCTCGAGGAACTACCCGGGGGATCTCCCAATTCCAACATACCCTTGCTCATACGCGCACGTATGGCAAACTTCGACGTCAGGCGCCTCCTCGTCGACGGAGGGAGCTCGGTTGACATAATGTACTCACATTTGTTCACGACTCTCCAGCTCAACGAGTCCAACCTCTCCCCCTACGTAGGCTCCGACCTCCAGGGGTTCAACGGGACGACGACAAGACCCTGGGGATACGTGGAACTGAAAGTCACCTTTGGGGAAGAGGAAACGGCCAGAGACATCAGCATCCGCTTCTTAGTCATCGAATGCCTGTCCCTGTATAACTGCATCCTGGGCAGGACAACGATAGCAGAGCTCACCGCGGTACCCTCCACCGCCCACCTGAAGATGAAATATTACACGAGAAGGGGAGCCGTGGTCACCCTCAACGGCGACATCGAAGCTGCCCGAAGGTGTTTTGAAGCCGCACTGAAAGGCTTCGACTCCATCGCTCCACCGACCAAAAAGAAAGCACCGAGCGCTACGCCAAAGGACAAGCCAACAGAGCTGGTCGGATCAGTTGAGCTCGACAGTCGCTTCACCGACGAGCTCGACAATAAAAAGACTGACGCGGCCAACGAGCATCCAGCGCGCCCCATCCCGGATGGCGATTTCGAGCTCATTCCCCTCGGGGACGACACGACCAGAACCGTAAGGGTAGGCGCAGGACTCCCCGACCTCGCGAAACGACAGCTCCAAGCCTGCCTCCGCGAGAATGCCGACCTCTTCGCCTGGAGCGCCGCGGAAATGCCGGGACTCGACCCTGAGGTCGCCTGCCACCAGCTGTCCATCAGCCCGACCGCAAAGGCCGTGGTGCAACGCCGTCGCCGCCAGTCTCCAGAAAAATCGGCAGCAGCCGAACAAGCTGTAAAAGACCTCTTAGAGGCAAATTTTATTTCGGAAGCCCGGTATTCCACCTGGCTGTCCAACGTTGTACTTGTTAAAAAGAATAATGGAAAATGGCGCATGTGTGTTGACTACACTGACCTCAACCGGGCGTGTCCTAAGGACGCCTACCCCCTCCCCAACATCGACAAGCTCGTCGACAACTCGGCGGGCTTCAAACTCTTGTCCTTCATGGACGCATACTCGGGATACAATCAGATCCCGATGGCCGAACACGACAAACAGGCCACGGCCTTCATGACAGCATCGGGCAATTACTATTACAACGTAATGCCTTTCGGCCTCAAAAACGCCGGGGCCACGTACCAACGCATGATGAACCGCGTCTTCCACAAGGAGATCGGGGACATGCTCGAAGTCTATATGGACGACATGATCGTCAAATCCGGCGCGGAAGACGACCATGCGGCACATCTCCAGAAGGTCTTCAAGACCGCGAGATCATGTCGCATGCGCTTTAACCCGGAGAAATGCACTTTCGGCGTCTGCGCCGGTAAATTCCTCGGCTACTACTTGACCGAACGGGGGATCGAAGCCAACCCGGACAAGTGCCACGCCTTCTCCAATATAACCACGCCGACCACGAAGCGTGCCATCCAGTCCCTCAACGGCGTACTAGCCTCCCTCTCACGATTCATCGCGAGATCGGCCCAACACGCCCTCCCGTTCTTCAAACTGCTCAGGAAGGAGACCAAGTTCGAATGGACGGACGAATGTGAGAGAGCCCTTCGCCACCTCAAACGCGTCCTCTCCGAACCACCAGTACTGACGCGCCCCGCGACGGGCGAAACCCTGTACTTATATCTGGCCGTCTCTAACGAAGCCGTCAGCGCCGTCCTCGTGAGCGAAGCCGGGGAAGGACAAAAGCCCATTTATTTTACTAATAAAGCCCTCCACGGCCCGGAGGCCCGATACCAGCTGATCGAGAAAGTCGCCCTGGCCCTCGTTACAGCGGCACGCCGACTCCGGCATTATTTTCTAGCACACACCATCGTGCTCCGCACCGACCAACCCCTCCGCCAACTACTCGGCCGCCCAGACATGGCTGGGCGCAT